ATTATGTTATTATATATATATTTAATATTATATTATAATATATTATATTATATTACGTTTACATTATTATATTTGTGTTATCAGTATTATTATATTATTGTATAATACGTGTAATTTATGATATATATATTATTATTATTATTTTATATTATATTATATTATTATAATATATTATATATATTACATTATATTACGTTTACATTATTATATTTGTGTTAACAGTATATTATATTATATTATTATATATATATTATTTTATATTATATTATAATATATTATATTATATTACGTTTACATTATTATATTTGTGTTAACAGTATCATTATATTATTGTATAATACGTATAATTTATGATATATATATCATTGTTATTATTATAATATATTATATTTATATTGTTATATTTGTGTTAACATCATTATATAATACGTATAATTTATATTATATATATATAATATACATTATACATTAATCTGTTTGTATTATGAAATGACCAAAATTATATATTCTATACATTCATTTTATTAGAAATAGATTTTATTTATCAATTTGATATCTATACATTATTATTATGTATAGATGTTATGTACATGAAGGAAGAAAGGGAAACAATATTGAAATTGTATTTTACACATTGTGCATCATAAGAAAACATTGCTAATCAGAAGAATTGAGTGTTGAGAATTTTGAACGATAATAATAATAATAATTGAAAACAGAAGTATGTGGACATATGGCATTTTTTTTTCTTGCAATCAGAGAAGCGTATAGAACAGGCATAGCGCTTCACTCAACTATAAAATACATTTGTTTTAAATTTCGTTTCCAAAAAACGTTCTCCTCGAAGGTGTCGAAATTTCACCGAATTTTCGGAGAAATCGTTCGATTTTAATTAATTTACTAAAATCTAGGATCGTGTAGTGCTAAATTTTCCAGGTTCACGGATTTAATCATTTCAATTTTCAATCAAATAAAAAATACCACCGAACCTAGTCCCTTTCCTGTTTAAAAATACGTACAAAAGAACGAAACTCCGTATGAATAGTGATTCAATGGCCAATCGAGAATTAAAAAACGGTTTTTCCGATGGGAAATATATTTTTGTTAATGTTGTAAACTCGACTGTTTCCGTGCAAAAGGATCATTTTCAATGAATTTACAAACGCGAAAGATTGAGAATGATTCAAGAGAACAAAAAAATTGAAAGGGGGAAATGTTTCAAATATTTCTCGCGGGATAATGAAATAAAAAGTTTTTCCTGATCCAAGCACCGAAATGATCGAGGCGAAAGAATAGTTGTAGCACTGCAAGAATGTAGCCGAAGTTTATAAAGAGAGAAGCGAACTATTTTTTCAGAAACTTGTAACTTCTAGACGACTAGGTATAAAAGAGGGATTCGAATTCATTGACGCGCACCACAGTTTTCGATTAATTACACTACTAGTTAAGATTTCAAAAAACGTTCTGGCAAAAAAACGACGATGAAAAGAATTTAGAAAAAAAAATAAAAAATATTTATAATAGCCAAAATTGGGAAAGAAGCCATTAAATTAAAAACTTACCAAAAATATATATATA